AATGTGGAGCACCTGGGCCCGGCGCTCCACACTGGATATAAAAGCTTCTTCTGGTGGCCTCGCTCTTTCTTTGGCCCTCTCTCTGGCTCTTGTTCTGGCTCCCTTGTACTCCCGGCACCTGATCAGCATCGCACCTTTGATTTAGTGTTATCTTATGCCAGTGCACTCCTCGACACCCATCACTACACCATGCTCACACACTCATATACACTCTATTGATCCTACAGACTTGATACACCTCATGCTTAATTATTTTTCATCCAATTATTTTTCTTAGTTTGTAATAAATCTTTTGGCACTGTTGTTTCCTACCGTCTTTTTGTTATGGCTCATGAGCTGGGTGATGACATGATTTATTAGTCTTTTGTCATTTCAAATGCTCCTTTGGATGAATATTTTATGCTTCTGTACCTTTAAAATGATACTCTGTACCTTTGACTGCTCTTTCTTTTGCAGCACTTCCTTGACTCCAGAGCTATTGAGGTTTATTTTCAAGTAAACGAACACTTTTTTTTTTTCCTCTTAATTTCTGTTTGAACCCCCAATCTAACGTTGATGTTTTTTGGTGAAAGTTGCAGGAATAGAGCCAGGGTGGATATACTGATATTGGTGTGATGTATAAAAGATTAGTTCCACTTTACCTGTCGTATGTGCATGCTGGTATCACAGGTCAAAGGTCGTGCAGATGTCAGGTCGTTGCTGCCCAGCATGGTGGAGATGATCCCATTACGGTCCACTTTCCTGATCATTGTCCCATCCACAAAATAGATCAGACCGTTTCTGTCTACTGCGATCCCTGAGACAGGAACACAGCAATCCATGTTTAATCATTGGGCTCTATTTTCGTGTCCGCCGGCGGAGGGTGGCTGACCCCGCGCAGTGGTATTTTGGTCTGGTGGAGCCCGGCGTACAGCCAGTTTGGTATTTTCGGGCCCACTGAGGTCCGCCAAGCTGGGCATGGTGGCGTGACAGGGGAAGGTGTCGACAGAATCAGCTGGCGCGGTAACATTTTCGTGCTCGCCGCCGGCGTGTAAAGTGTGCTGAAGGCTTGCTGATTCAAACCTGGTCAGCTTTCAGCGCAGGCGGAGCGCAGCTGGTCTAGAGGTATCGGCATACGTCACTGATGCCTCACCGGCAGGTTTCCACAGTGTCAGGCACATTTTAGTGCAATAAATAATCAACAACAACTAATAATCTGAGTCAGCACATACATTTAGATCTATGGATATATTCCGATCTATATCTGACCTGATGAGTGCGTTTGGCACGCGTTTGGACAAACAACCTGACCAAACCAACACAGCTGAAACCGCATTAAATTCAATTAAATATCTAGTAAATAAACACACATGATGAAGTTAACAAGATATGTAATTCGTCTCCCTCCTTTTCTTTCTTCCTCTTCCTCTTATTTCTCGCGCAGCTCGACTTTGACATGTCTCCGTGTCCTCTCCCCGTCCTGCTGCAGCTGCGGCGGCTGAACAGATGATTTGTTTCAGTGATCAGATGAGTTTTTTACTTTAAGCCTACATACGAATATTATAATATTCAGTTTTGTGAGCCAAATTTATTTTATATGTCAACATCTATGAAAGAAAGAGCCAGGCCATGGAGCGCGATGCACACAGATGGTTCCGATTTTAATGCTATTATTGGAATTTATGTTGTGATTTGTACGCACAACCCACCTTTGTCACATGAGGTTTGAATATGTGCAACTTTATGTGAGTGTCTTTATTTGTGGAAAAGGATGTTTGTCTTACCAGTGGGTCCAACATTACACACACCAAATCCATCTGTGCTCATATGAGAGAGTGTGAAGGATGCCCTCTGCAGCGTTTACAGCGACACATGTTGAGGGGCTGCCTTCTGTCACCATCATGTGGCATTGCTGTCTTCAGACATGTCTTGATCTCTTTGAATAATTCACGAAAATTGTAATACGACTCGCCAGTGGCGGATTTAAAGGCGAGGAGAGGAGCTGATGTTATTGGTCAATACAGGTCTCGGCTGTGTTAAACCCACTCCAAGCCCTCTCCTCCCTTGCTACGACGTACGCTGCTGGAAGGAGCTGAGTTAGGGAGGGGGGATACTTAGGCCGGGCTGTGCCGCTCACCTAAATACCAAATTGTGCTTGGGAAAGCCTTGTCTGCAGACGCAGCGTAAGTCAGGTTCGCAGCGCCTGCGCCACGTCTCCGGCGAAGCACGAAAATAGAGCCCATAAAGTTTATCATTTACAAAAGGACGTTCTAATGTCCTAATTTTTTTGTTTTAAGTTTATGTGTCATGTTACACTTTTTTGACAGGTGTAGCACGCATCAATCGTGGTTTATGACTCTGATTCCTAGGTTTTGACCATCTCTTGCTAAAATAAGTGCTTCAAAGTATTCCTGAAGTCATTTACTTATTTTTCCAGCTTTTTCTTGAAATTATAGTGATGTTCGGTTTTCTATTTTTTCTTATAGAAACATCTTGTGTTTATTGGTTGCTAAGAACAAGTGAGGGGTTTTTACTGTCTGGAGAAACTATTGTGCAAATACAAATGACATCATGAAAGCAGAGCTTTTCTCAAGCTTTTGTAAAGAGTGTAAAAGCCTTTCTGTAGGTTTTGAGGTTCCAAATTTTAAGTGAAAGGAACCAAATCAAGATTTTTTCATGGAAATAAGATAAGAAGAACTTAATTGATCCCCAATAGGAAAATCCAATTGTCTCATGTCAGACTGCAGCATAAAACTGAAGGCTTGTCTGTCAGCACAGACTGATAAACCATCTGCAGCATCTTACTACATTTGTCTATTGATCGGAGTCTTCTCAGGCAAAAGAGGCAGCTGTGCCCCTTTTTGTAGACGAAGTCTATGTTCTTAGACCGGCCCAACTTATTATTCAGGTGTACACCTAGATATTTTTATGATGTCACCACTCCGATGTCCACTCCACAGATGTTCACTGGCTGAAGGGGGGGGTTTGGATATGCAGATCTGCAGAAGTCTATGATTATTGTCTTTGAGGCGTTGAGGAGGAGGCAGTTTTGTGACTCCAGTCACTAAAGGCTCTTATCAGATCTCTGTATTCAGCTTTCTGATACATGCCACGACAGCAGTGCCATCCGAGTATTTCTGGATGTGGCTCAGTGCTGTATTTGAAGTCTGACGTATACAGTGTGAACAGGAATGGAGCCAGGACTGTCCCTTGTGGAGCTCCTGTACTGCTCATTAATGTCCCAGAAACACAGTTCCCCAGCCTGATAAACTGTGGCCTTCCTGTCAGGTAATCTGTGATCCAGGAAACACAGGAAGGATCCACTCCCATCTCTGTGAGCTTGTCTTTGAGTATGGTGGGTTGGATGGCGTTGAATGCACTTGAAAAGTCGAAAAACATGATCCACACATAAACCCCAGGTTCATCCAGATGAGACAGGGCACGGTGAAGCATGTAGAGGACAGCATCATCCACTCCAATGTGTTCTTTGTATGCAAACTGCAGGGAATCCAGTTTGTCTTTGACCTCAGACCTCAGAATGCATAGAATCAGCTGCTCAAGGGTTTTCATGATGTGTGAAGGGAGGGCCACTGGTCTGTAGTCATTGAGTTCAGCAGGACATTTTGTTTTTAGTACTGGCACAATGCAGGATGTTTTCCACAGAGCAGGTACCTGCCCCAGCTGTAGACTCAGGTTGAAGATCTTGTGGAGAGGTTGACACAGTTCTGTAGCACAGTCTTTGTGCAGCCTTGGACACTAGGGTTTTCCCTGCAAGGCAATTGATCATGGCGCACCGCCATGGCAAAATAAAAGCCGCCACACCTTAAAAATTAGTTTTTTTAAAAAGTGGCACTACCTTGGACTCAGTATGTCTCAGTACATGCTGCACACTGCGGGGCGTGCGTGTGTGCTGAGTATTCGCGAGTTGTCCTGTGGGAAACACTGGACACACATCATCTGAACCAGCTGCCTTCCCAGGACAAAGTCTTCCAAGCTCCATCCTCACCCCTGTTTCTGTGACAGACAAGGGCTGATGTTCTAGGAGGGAGGTAGTTGAAGCAGTGGAGATATGTAGGAGATTTAGGAGGAGAAGGAGGAGCCACAGTAAAGATTCCCAAATGTTGCGGAGAGGAAGGTGGAGTAGCAATGGAAATGGGTGTGACAGCAGTGTCAAATCTGTTGAAGAACGGGTTGAGTTCATCAGCTCTTTCCACGTCACCCACCAATGGCTGTCTTTTCTTTTTATTGCTGTGTCCAGAGATGGTACTGACTTCTCTCCACACTTCACAGACGTTGCTGTGTTGTAGACTCCTCTCTATCTTCTTTTGTATTTCAGCTTTGCCATCTTCAGTCTCCTCTTCCAGTCTTGTGCCACTTGTTTAAGTCATTCTTTGTCACCGTCTTTAAAAGCTTTCTTTTTCTGGTTGAGGATTGCTTTCATGTCACTTGTGATTCAGGGTTTGTTGTTGGTAAAACAGCAAAACAGTGTTTATTGGTATAACTGTGACTCTACTAGGGGTGTAAGATTCATTTTTACAACAATTCAATGTGTATCACGATTTGTGGTTGCTGATTTGATTCAAGGACGGCATTGGTTCATTTAGTGGAGTCCCTAAGCCCAAAAAATAAGCTGTAAACTTCAAGTCATGCAACAAATATCCCCTTTGGTATGGAAGTACCTTAGGGTCATAGGAAACATTTTATCCAAAGAGACAAGTAAGATCACCCTTCAATTTTTTTTTTTATCGCCATTTTAAAAATGGCCACTGACAATAAACCGCCAATACACCAGACCCCGTATCTTTGCTTCTGTTACAGCTATAATCATAATATTGGTGTCAAAGTGCACATTTTTGGGGTCTAGGAATTCAATTAAATAGGTTTCAATGCAAAAAACCCAATGCATCATTAATTACCATGACAACAGGGGTTAAAATATGCAAATTTCATGAAAAAATGTACGTTTTGACAGGGTAACTTACCTCCCTACCCCTCCCCCTAAACTGAGATTTACTGTTCCTTTGGCATGGAAGTACCTTAGGGCCATAGGAAACATTTTATCCAAAGAGACAAGTTAGATCACCCCATTTTTAAAATGGCTATTAAAACAAATTGACGGGTGATCTAACTTGTCTCTTTGGATAAAATGTTTCCTATGGCCCTAAGGTACTTCCATGCCAAAGGAACAGTAAATCTCAGTTTAGGGGGGGGGGGGGTAAGTTACCCTGTCAAAACGTACATTTTTTTCATGAAATTAGCATATTTTACCCCCCACTGTCATGGTAATTAATAAAGCATTGGGTTTTTTGCATTGAAACATATTTAATTGAATTCCTAGACCCCAAAAATGTGCACTTTGACACCAATATTATGATTATAGCTCTAACAGAAGCAAAGATACGGGGTCTGGTGTATTGGCGGTTTATTGTCAGCGGCCATTTTTAAAATGGCGATAAAAAAAAATTGAAGGGTGATCTAACTTGTCTCTTTGGATAAAATGTTTCCTATGACCCTAAGGTACTTCCATACCAAAGGGGATATTTGTTGCATGACTTGAAGTAAAATGTGTCTTAGGGCCCCAACTAATTTAGAACAATACAATCCGACACAATTCAGTAACTTGAAATCGATTCAGTAACTTTTTAGCCAAAAATTCAACCACTGTGACTGTGAAATTAATACCTTGATACTGGACAGTGTAGGTGAAATTTCCTAGATTCCTGTTGTTGCTTGTAATGGAATCAGGTGTAAAATTGTGTAAAATTAATGATGGTTATAAACACAGAAGTAAACAAAAATTAATAGCAAATGCTTTCACATTTTATTTGAATAAAGTTCACTTCACTCCAGGTGCAATTAACAGGATATTAACCTTTTCTGTTCTTAATTTAAGTATTGTATAAATTTTCAATGAAAGAACAGTAAGTGCATCTTAAATTTCTGCTACTTCTGCTGTTGTTTTTCAACACAAAATAATACAGTATAAATATAAAAAATAAAGTGCAACCAGCATCTCTTCAGGTTGAAGTAACAGAAGTTTTCCTGCTACTTCTGCTGTTCTGACATACACTCGACTGCAATGGTGGCTTGATAATTTCTCGCTCGCTGACTTCTCCTCTGCCATCCACTATGCTATGTTTTGTTGTCTGCTGGTGCATGGCGATGATGTCACATACAGGTAGACCGAATCAAGATAAATGTCTTTTATTATTAAAAGTAAAAAAAACAACAACAAAAAAAACCATCCATGTACAGTTTTCGATTTATTACGTTGTAAAACACTGTTATGTCTTGCGGAAGGCCGACTTGCTGAGCACAGATTGATGTAGTTGGATGATAGGAATATAAATCGATACATCAAGTTGATGTATTCAGTCAAGCAGTCAACCTGTCTGTCAATGTTCATACTGTCTTCATCTGTTTTCGAGCAGCACAGTCCAGTCTGTTGATTTAAAACAGTCCCTTCAAGCTTCACTAGCTTGAGCTGTCTATCTTCTGAATTTAACTTTAGTTACAGGTCTGTAAAAGGTCTGCAGATAGACCAAGTTATGATCTGAGCTGCCCAGTGGTGGTAAGAGTTACACCATCTCTGGTTGATAAATAAAGCCAGACCTCCTCCTTTCTTCTTGCCACTAGCTTGAGCATCTCTGTCTGACCTTATGAGAGTGAAGCCAGGTAGATCTACACTGGAGTCTGAGTTGTTTTGATTCAACCAGGTTTCAGTAAAACACAGGAGACTGCACTCACGGTATGCTTTCTTGATCCTCACCAATATCTCCAGCTCATCACTTTTTTTGGGCAGAGAGTTGACGTTTCCCATGATGATTGATGGAAGAAATATCTCCACCTCCTAGCATTCAAATTTACCTCTAATTTTGCATCAATACAGCAACCATGATAACACCTCCTGATGTTCTCTGGGGTTGGATGTTGTCCAAATTTGCACTGTCTCAATGAAAGGACCTCTTCTCTTGAGTAAACTCTTCTCCCAGCAGAAATATCCTTCAGCAGCTGATGAAATACTACAAATATATGAAAACATAAAGGGAAAAATTGCAGAAAATTCAGAGGGACTAGACTTTGCTGCCGCCACTCAATTTAAGCGCAGTTTCTAGAAAAATTCTGACCAAAATCAGATGCAGCTTATCCTAACTAATAATTTGTCTATTTTTTTGGAAATACTAACTTCAACTTTATGTTGGAACGAAAGAAAAGGATATTTTCAGGGCCTTTTTCAAAATAGGTCCTCCAGTCTTTATACAAACTCACAGCCAGAGTTCATTCAACCTTAGTTGAAAAATATTAATCTATAAATAAAGTAATGTTTAGGGCAGTACAATGAACTATACATGCTAAAAGAAATGCATAAAAAACACATTAACGTGTTTTTACATTATACAAAGCATGAGATGTGTTTATGATAATTAGCTGTGGTCTAAAAACAAAAGCAGTGTTGTGATGCCAAATGCTGCATCTGCAATTAAACTCAGCAGGTGTTGCAGCTCCTCCTGCGGTGTGATCTGCATGCCTGAACATAGATTCATAGATAATTCAGTTACTGTAACATCAGCTGTCTTGACTTTTGACCCCTCTGGCAGGAAAAACATTAGTAATTTTAGCAGAATAAACGTTTCTGTCCTCCCTCTGCAGACAGAGGCCCTGCAGAGCTTCAGTGTTCCTGTAGTTTCAGTCACTTTGGCTCTTGATGTGCTCTCAACACCAAACTACATGTGCCACCTCTGTGTGAACTTATTTCAAGAGTTTCATAACAGCCTGTTCATACCTTTAAGAATACTTTTTGCTGCAGTACAGCTATACATTTTCATGCTAATGGACACACTTCTATATGGCACTATAACAGATGCACATATTCAAATGATGTGCTTGAACTGAGAGATTGCTGCAAGTCTGGTCTCTCTGTATAATCTGTAATTTTTGTAATTTTTGCTAGATTTTTTTGTTGTTGTCTTTTTGTTGGATGCTGATGGATACTTCTGCTGGGCAAAGAGTTTACTCAAGAGAAGAGCTCCTTTCAATAAAGAAAAGCAAATCTGGACAGCAACGTACAATCCAGAGGACATCAGGAGGTGTTATCGTGGTTGCCGTGCTGATGCAAAGGTGAAGGCAAAGCTGAATGCTAGGAGGTGGTGATATAAACCCTTTCTTCCATCAATCATCATGGGAAACGTCAACTCTCTGCCCCAAAAAAGCGACGAGCTGGAGATATTGGTGAAGACTGAGAAAGCATACTGTGAGTGCAGTTTCCTGTGTTTTACTGAAACCTGGTTGAATCAAAACAACTCAGGTGGATCTACCTGGCTTCACTCTTCACTCTAATAAGGTCAGACAGAGATGCTCAAGCTAGTGGCAAGAAGAAAGGAGGAGGTCTGGCTTTATTTGTCAACCACAGATGGTGTAACTCTTCACACATAACTGTCAAGGAGAAGTTGTATTGTCCAGGTATTAAACTGTTGGCAGTTGCTCTTCGGCCATTTTATGTTCCAAGAGAAATTAGTCACATCATAACAGTAGTTGTTTACATCTCACCCAAATCCACTGCAGAAATTCCATGCGATGTTTTGCAAAAAAGTGTTGCCAGGCTACAGACTCAACACCCGGAGTTACTAATAATAATATCAGGAGACTTCAACCATGTCACCCTCTCCTCTCACCTGACTGGATTCACATAGTTTGTGAACTGTCCTACCAGAGAAAACAAAACCCTGGATCTGCTGTATGCCAATGTCAAATAAGCCTACAGAGCCACTGCCTTACCACCACTGGGCAAGTCAGATCATAACTTGGTCTATCTGCAAGCCTGTTACAGACCTTGTGTACTGAGGCAGCCTGTGACCAAAGTCAAAATCAGAAGATGGACACCTCAAGCCAGTGAAGCTCTAAGGGACTGTTTTAAATCAACAGACTGGAATGTGCTGCTGGAAATAGATGTGGATAGTATGAACATTGACAAACAGGATGACTGCTTCACTGAATATGTCAGCTTCTGTAGAGACACAGTTATACCCACAAAAACTGTTTGCTGTTTCCCCAACAACAAACCCTGGATCACAAGTGACAAAAAAGCAATAACCAGAAAAAGAAAGCTTTTAAAGATGGTGACAAAGAATGACTCAAATAAGTGCAACAAAAGTTGAAGAGGACACTGAAGATGGCAAAGCGGGAGTACAAAAAGAAGATAGAGAGGAGTCTACAACACAGCAACATCTGTGAAGTGTGAAGAGGAATCAGTACCATTTCTGGACACAGCAATAAAAAGAAAAGACAGCTAGTGGTGGGTGATCTGGAAAGAGCTAATTAACTCAACCCGTTCTTCAACAGATTTGACACTGCTGTCACACCCACATCCACTGCTACTCCACCTTCCTCTCTGCAACAAGTCTCCACTACAACTTCTCCCCCTTCCTCCTCCATCTCATTCAAATGTCTCAACCACTTCAACTGCCTCCCTCCTAGAACACCAGTCTTTGTCTATCACTTAAACAGGGGTGAGGATGGAGCTTGGAAGACTTTGTCCTGGGAAGGCAGCTGGTCCAGATGGTGTGTGTCCAAGGCTGCTTAGAGACTGTGCTGCAGAATTGTGTCAACCTCTCCACAAGATCTTCAACCTGAGTCTACAGCTGGGGTGGGTACCTACTCTGTGGAAAACATCCTGCATTGTGCCAGTACTAAAAACAAAATGTCCTGCTGAACTCAATGACTACAGACCAGTGGCCCTCACTTCACACATAATGAAAACCCTTGAGCGGCTGATTCTACACCTTCTGAGGTCTGAGGTCAAAGACAAACTGGATTCCCTGCCGTTTGCATACAAAGAACACATTGGAGTGGATGATGCTGTCCTCTACATGCTTCACTGTGCCCTGTCTCATCTGGATGAACCTGTGGTTTATGTGTAGATCATGTTTTTCGACTTTTTAAGTGCATTCAACGCCATCCAACCCACCATACTCAAAGACAAGCTCACAGAGATGGGATAGGACCCTTCCTGTGTTTCCTGGATCACAGATTACCTGACAGGAAGGCCACGGTTTGGCAGGCTAGGGAACTGTGTTTCTGGGACATTAATGAGAAGTACAGGGGCTACACAAGGGACAGTGCTGGTGCCATTCCTGTTCACATCGTATACGTCAGACTTCAAATACAGCACTGAGTCCTGCCAC